GCGGCCGCGGCCCCCGGCTGGGAGAGGGGGGGGGAGGGTGGAGAAGCAGGCGGGAGGGGAGGGGAGGGGGGAGGCGGACGGGGGATGGCGGAGGGTGATAAAGGGGTCGGGGGAGAGGAGGGGGAGGCGAAGGAGGGGGAGGAGGAGGAGGAGGAGGAGGAGGAGGAGGAGGAGGAGGAGGAACTCAGGAGCGAAAAGGTCTGGCCGCCACCGGCCGCTCGCGCCCCTGGGTGCCATACTGCTGGCGCTCAGGACCTGAGGTATAAATGGGAAAGGGGAATGGCCGCGGGTCCCAGTGGGGCCCCACCCAGCAAAAAACCGTCGGGCCCCCATGTGGCCGCTGCGGCTGTAAAAAGAACCTGGAGCACAGCAAGTTTTGCTATCATTGCGGTGCTCCTTACGGTCGTCCTGCTCCTCCACCCCCGTCATCCAATGGATGGGATTGGAGGGATCCGCCGCCCCCGTGGACGCGCGGAAAGGGCAAAGGAAAGAAAGGAGATCGTGGCGTGCCTGCATGGGGTTAGTCGGCTTCAGAGGGCGGGCGCCCAAAAGACGGCGGGGCCAAAGGCGGGGGGCGTGGCGACCGCCCCAGCCATACACCGCACGACTCCCTCCACCACCTCTTCCAGTTGGGGAGTGGGGGGAACAGTTTTGACGAGGCGACTTCAGAATTCCTCATTCAGGCTTGGAACGCCCACCAGGCCCATCAGGAGTCCCAGGCCTCGGCCTCGACCATCCTCCAGAAGCTTGAGAAGCAGGTCAAGAAATATGAGGGGGAGGTCGAGACGATCCAGGACCAGATCATTGAAGCAGAACAAGTTATCACAGAGCACTTGGAGTGGAGGCAGCAGTTGGGAAGGGATTTGCAGGCAGCTCAAGTCCAGCTCACTGAGGCCCGCACTAAGGTACATCCCAAGCTTCAAGAATATATATGGGTCCAGGGCCCTCTCCAGCAGCCCCGACTGGGGATACGTATGCGGGGGTCCTCAAGCAGGCAGTTGGAAATGTGGTGCACGACCCGACTATGCGAGGGCAAATCGAGCACCAGTTCTTCTCCCTCCCTCCTCGGCGCGCTCACCCTGCCGATCCCAGCAGACCCAGGAGGAACCCCAGGAGGAGGAGGTGCTATGCCAGCAGCCGCCGCAACACTCATGTCAGCAGCAGAGTGTATTGCAGTCGATGGGGGGTATGTGGAGGACTCCGATGAGGATTTGGAGATGGGCGAGGAGTGTGGTCAGCAGATCCAGGCGCTTTTGGGGCCCCAGGGACAAGGTCTTGGCAAAGACTCCCTGGGCAAACTTCGGAAGATCTGTTTGGCCTCAAGCGCGCGGAAGGGAGCCCGGAAGCCCCGCGTCAAGAAGGAGGGGTGTGCAAGGAAGGGGACTCCAGCAGCAGCAGCAGCAGCAGGTGCAGCAGCCCCGGGTGCAGCAGCCTCGGGAGCAGCAGCTGCAGCAGCCCCGACGTCAGCCCCAGCTCCAGAGGCAGGGCAGGGGTCCAGCCATCGAGGAGCTGATCCAGGAGGCGCTGGGGGGTTGGCCGCCGCTTCCTCAGTCCCGCGGCCGCGGGGGTAGCGCCCGGCCTCTGCAGCCTCTTCTCCTCGCCACCCTCAACCTGAACTCTTGGTGCACTGGATCAGAGTTGGTTTCAGAGGTGGCAGGGGGCATAGTGTACATCCAGGAGCACGAGCTACTAGAAGGAAGTAAGTATGATGCAGTGGCCTCTACACTCCGAGCCAAAGGTTGGAAGTACTCTGGGGCCCCTGCTACCAAATTAGTTATTAGGTTTGCCTCAGGTGGGGTCTCCATGCTGGCTAGGAGGCACCTCGATATCTGGAACATGCCGTCGTCGCCGTCGATCCTGGTTCCCGCCAGGCTGGTCAGATGCTTTCTCAGGACTTCTGCACTGGGCACGAAATCTCTTTATTCTATGTACTTGTATGACGGCGTGGAATTGGGACTTAAGGGCATCAGGATCTGGAAGGCTCTGGGGGAGGAAATCCAGAGGCACAAGTTCCCGAGTATTGTAGGTGGATTTCAACGTGAACCCTGCCTTACTCTCGGAGCACGTCCCACCCCGCGACTTGGACTTGGTCATTCGAGCCCCCGAGGCCCACGCGTACCGTTCCAAGGATACCAGGACTAAGATCGACTTCTTCCTGGTCTCGGCCCTTCTCGACAGAGTGGCGCCGACCATCTCGGTCGACCTCAGCGTGGCCTCGCGCCCTCACTCGGCAGTCAACCTTACGTTGCAGAGAGCAATCAGTGATGTATCCCTCGCGGTGCCTGTGCCGTACCAGGTTGCCCCCTGCGAGGCAGCAGTTGGTTTAACGTCAGGCCCCAGACTACCAAGATATTGCCGAGCCAATCGAGGCTTTTCTGGCATCTTGCACAGATGATTTGGGGGTCACCTGGACAGCGGAGGAGGGGCGCAGGTTCCAGGGATCGCACCTTCTGACTGAATCCTATGAGGTCTGGGCTGCCGGAGCATGGGGCGAAATCTTGGAGGTCGCTCAGACTACCCCGAAAGGCCGTCAACCGGGGGCCCCGATGGAATTCCAGTCCGAGCCTTTGTCGCAGCTACTGGCCACCAAGCGCTGCAGCAAGGCAGTTCCCCACAGAGCTATGAATTGGGTTATCAATCGATGTGGGGAGTTACGCAGCCTCATCGCAGACAGCGACGGCCGGTTGTCCGCAGAGGGTTTCCACGCAGCCCACCACCTGTCGATGTTACCGCGTCCGGGGGGGGGGGGGGGGGGTCGCAAGTGTTGGAAGGAGGTGCAGGACTTTTGGCATGCGACCCTAGGAAAGACAGGATCTGTCCTCAAGACGTCGCCCAGAGAGGCCCCCCTCGACATCCTTGGTGAGCTCGAGGCCATTTGCGCCAGCATCCACGACGGGGGCCTTCCCAAGGAATCTACTTTCAGATACGAATCCTGGCTGTCTTGGTGCCCCGAGGCTCTCGAGGGATCTGGAAGTCAAGTTTTTGCCTATCTCAAAGGTGGTGTGAGAGGAGAAGCCGGCGTCTACCCAGTGGACCAGGGTTTTTCATCCCCACGCACGGTTGAGATGGAGCATGAGTGGAGGAAGTGGAATGGAGCATGGGAAGGCAAGGGGGGGCATGACGGAGAAGGCAGTTGGTTTGTCAATCAGGCTTCTACCCCAGCACCTCCCCCCCCCACAGTGGGCATGATCCAAGGGGCTTCGAAGGCGTTCAAGAGGAGGACGTGCACCCCTGACGGTTTCCACCCCCGCCACTTCGCCATCATCTCTGAATCTGGCCAGTGCCTTCTCTGCTTGCGGCTGCATCTCTCCCAAGTGGTCAGCGTCTTGCCTCGCCAAGTCCGAGAACTCATTGTGCTTTTGGCCAGGGAGGTCAAAGGGGCCAGGCAGGAGACCCATAGGCCACTACTCGGGGCCTTCGCCAGAATGCAGGGCCAGTGCCTCTGCAAAGATGCGAGGGGGTGGAAGGAAAATTGGGGGGGCGGGTGCGCAGTGCAGTATGAGCAAGGGAAGGGGTGCAGAAGATACTGCATGGCGTGCTGCAGTCAGCGATGAAGGGAGGGTAGCAGACAATATGCATGTGCTGACGATGCTATGGGACATCAGACAGTTCTACGAGAACCTAGAGCACGACTTGCTCTATCGTGCTTCCCAGGCGTTGCAGTGCCCGCTCTATGCTATTCGTCTAGCGCTACGCATGTACGCCATCCCGTGGAGGATCTTTCTGGACGGAGCCGTGGGCCCACGGATCTATCCTTCCAAAGGAATTGTCGCAGGCTCCAAAACGGCCGCGACAGAGGCCAATATGTATGTAATGCCCATGCTAGAGGACGTCTCCGCTGCAACGGAAGAGCAAGCATCGGCATCCATGCACATCGACGACATCACCTCAAGTTCGTGGGCCTTTGGGCTAGAAGAATGCGTTCAGTATCTCTGGAAGTTTGCGTTGAAGCTAAAGGAGGGCCTTGCTGCCCTTCACCTTCCCCTTGCCGTTGACGGGCTTGCTATCGCAGCCAGCTCAGGCCCCCTGCTCAAGAGGGCCAAGGATGTTTTGGGGACAGTTGCAGGGGCAGCAGTGCCGTCAGCTTCTCACCTAGGCATCGACTTCGTATCAGGAAAGCATGAGCGGCGCCCTGGGGCCAATCCGACAAGGGGGGCACGATGGGCCAAACCGCGCTCGCGATCCTGTCGTCTTCGGCGCGTTAAAAGCAATAAGCCGAAGGATCGGGCTCGTTTCTTTGTTACTGGAGTTCGGTCAGCTCTCTCGTACGGTGGGAAGGCTACGGTTACACGCCCGCTGAGATATATAGGCGACGCTCTATGGCTAGGATTGTTTCAGGACGCCAGCTTAGGGGAGCAAGGACCGACATATGGTGGGACGTACACGAGGTGGCAGACCCTCTTAGTCTAGCATCCAGCACTTTGGAAAGATACTGTACGGAGTGGTGGAGGGCTGCGTCAGGTAGAGCAGAGTTTGGCATGCATGCAGATGGGCTAGCTGCTAAGGAACTCAGGACCCTCTTTGCGGCTGTGCAAACCAAGTTCCAGGACCCAGGGGATACTTCGTGGTTGGGGCGATCGGCAGGGCCCATTTCAGACATGCTGCTTTGGGTTCAGAGGGCGGGCTGGCGCTTCGACAACCCGACTGCCCTCCAGCCCAGAGCGGGGGGCAGCATCAATATCCGGGAGATTCCGCCAGTTTCGATTGCCAAGCAGTTCGCGGAGGACCTCAAATAACAACAGTCTAGCCAGGCTGTGGGCATCGAGCTGAGTGCTCTCCCTCGCCCCCCTCCTCCGCCAGTCGGACAGGAAGGGGGTGTGGACTGGGTCCAGGTCCGCATGGGGGCTTAGGCACGTACGAAAGCAGCTCACCCCCGACGAGTGCACCAACCTTAGGCACTACATTTGCGGCTCCCTTATCACAGGTAAGGTTCTGTCAGGCTGGGGTTGCGACCTGCAGCCGTCTTGTCCTTACTGTTTGGAGGTGGAAACACAGTGCCA